TTATTTGTAGAATTAGCAACTAACATTCACGATATGTGCTTTGCTGTTTGACTTTTTTCACCGACACAAAATCAGTAACTGCCAATTTACTTTTAACAACTTTTTCACTATTGAACCCAAACTTCTATAATTTCGAAGAAGTATGTTTAGGCCAGAGCCTAATGATAATACCAAATTTGCAATATTAGAAATAAATGACACTAACATTTTTTATAAAATATGACGTGTTTAGATTAAAAATTCCACCATTTCTCCGTATCCTACATTTACCTGGCTTAAAAAACGTACCGAATCTCTATACGTTCGACCACCTGTTTAAGGTATGACCCACCTAATGCATTACCTCCACTTTGAGTAGTATTCAAATAGGCTAGAACTACTGTCAACTGCATTGAAGCTGAGGGGCGCGGGTTCAAACCCCAAAAGAGGCAACTTTTTTTCTTTCTATTTCTTTCTTTCAATATTTTTTGTGTCTCTTGGATCACTCTTGGTAAGAAAAAAGCGTTGCATTTAAGCATAACATTATTATTGACATTTAATGGCTAAATTATACCAAATTTATCATCAGATATGATATCTGATATTTTCAAAGTCTAATAAAACAAAAACTAGAAGGTAAAAGTATTTTATATTTAAAAAGATCAACCAGTATACTTTTAAGAAAATTTAGGCAAACTTTGAAAACAGTCCCTCATTTTGGTAAATTTCTGGGCTATTTTGAATAAGGCCCTCCGAGTAGGAAAATTGTCAATCAATTAAGGGTTTAAAATGGGTGGGATAGGGTACCATTTGTATACATATTTCAAACATTTTGGGTAGAAACATTAAGTTTTCTTGTGTCATTTGTTACTTGAATGCTATTATTTGTTTCTTAACAATGATCAAATGAAAAAAAAATCCATATTGATTATATGATAGATTATTAAGAGTTTCTCTTTTCTGAAAAAGAGCCCATTTAGTAGCCACGTTTTAAGTAAGAAGAATCCCCATACCTCGTAAACCATACGGTAAACTTTCTTAAAATTTTGCATACAGGCGTCCTTTAAGGTATATAACAAACCTATGTTGTCAATTTTATAGTTCCTTATAGTGCCCATTAGGGGGCTCATACCTTAAATTAGAAAATTATTAAATCTATAAGTATTTTAATAAGAAATAATTAATTAACGAAATAGATAAAAGATATTATTGCTTTGAATGCAATGAGAGGGAGCGATCAGTTACTAAGAAATATTAAAGCTACCCCAGAACCATATCAGCTAAAAATAACTTCATACTAAAACCAATTACACATCTTGCAAAACCAATTTAATCACCTATAAGAAAATGACAATAGACAAACATTAACAATTAACACCACAACAGGTTTGGTTTGGCCTTTAAGAGACCATTAATATTCTAAAAAAAGAACTTGTTTATTTTAAACCTGATCTAGGCTTAGCTCTGGCAGTCTGTGGTAAAATACATTTCGGTCTTATATGCAAAGCAAACAAATATCATATGTGCATCATAGAACCCTTGCTAACATAGGAATACATTACTACAGTAGAGTATACATCTACAGTATACTATCATTCAATCTTCAATCGGGACAAAATAATTCCCTGCGGTCTGGAGACCGCAGGGTATTGGTACGCGTTTCACTTTTGAGGCATGGAGCAGCACGTGACCTGTTTTCTGTACATGGAGGAGCATGTGATCTGTTAATTGACCTTTTCGAAAACCTAGCTAAATACCGTTTGTCGGTCCGTTACGGATTTACCTGCGGTATGCCTAAATTACGAAAGTGAGATTTTTGACGAAAGTGAGCGAAAGTGAGCGAAAGTGACTTTTAAAATTTGAATTGTACCGTTTTAATTGAATTTTACAGTAAAATTGCTATTTGCAGACGTATATTATTAGCAACTTATAATATTTCTTTTCAAAAATAATCACTATGATGATTTAATCGCCATTTATTTGCATAATTTCTATACACAAGTTCTGAGATCTTCCTTTCGCTCACTTTGAAAAATACGAAAGTGACATGTAAAATATTGAATATAGAGTTTAAATTTAAATTTGTACTAAAATGTAGACGTATGTTATCAGAAATATATAATATTTATTTTCAAAAATAATCACTATGATGATTTAATCTTCCCTTCGCTCACATTGAAAATACGAAAGTGACTTGTAAAATATGAAATAAAGGGTTGAATTGAAAGTTATACTAATATTGCATTTTTCAGGCGTATATTATCAGAAATTAATATTAAATTAATTTCTTATAATATACGTCTACAAACTACAAATTTAGTACATTTTCAATTTAAACTCTATATTTAATACATGTAGTTTGTCACTTTCGTATTTTTCTATGCAAGCGAAAGGAAGATAACTAAACTTTTATATTTAGAAATTAGGCCAATAAATGGCGATTAAATCATGATTATGGTTATTTATCATAATATATATAATTGGTTGCTAATAATATACGTCTACAAACAGCAATTTTACTGTAAAATTCTATTAAAACGGTATAATTCAAATTTTAAAAGTCACTTTCGCTCACTTTCGTCGAAAATCTCACTTTCGTATTTTAGGCAAACCCAACAATTCATTGTTTGTAAAATTTACGATAGATATTAAGGAAATATTGATAATTTTGAAACACATCATTCAAATTTTACCACCTTAAACGGTAAAATAATTATAGAAAATTAGAAATATCACGTAATAGTTTTTGTTCTTGATAAACTGTAATTCGGACTAATTCCCTACAGGTAAATCGGGTTTGCCTAAAATACGAAAGTGAGATTTTCGACGAAAGTGAGCGAAAGTGACTTTTAAAATTTGAAAATTTACAGAATTAAAATATTCGTAGGGGCATCTGCCATAATAAATAGAGATATTTTCTGCGTAAACTTGTGTGTTTACTTTATTTATTTTTTGCTCGGAATTATTCATAAAATGGTAGGCCTATTTAATCATTTTCTTAAAAAGAAATAATTGTTTTATGTTCGACCTTCTCCGGTCTTCAAGGGTGACCTTCTTCTATATTGATCGTTTATTCAATTGTCAACTAAAGTCCTGATACAAACGTTTATTTACCCCCCCCCCCCCAAAAAAAAAAAAAAAAATAAAATAATAAAATAATGTTGAAAATAGTTCAATATATCATTAAAATGTTCACCGCAGGAAACCATTTAGCTTGTTAACTTACTTCGTGTGCAATTCAAATCTTACGTTTAATAAAGTTGTTGAGGGATCATCCCTTTCCCCGTTTTTTTTTGTTATCCTTTGCGTCATTTTTTTAAAGCAGTTTCCTTTCCGCTAATTTGTACAGATAATAAAATCAGAGTCAATCAGAAGCACTACGTTTGCGATTGATCTGGCCCCGTGTTCACTAACATTTCTGATCCTTATATTTGGATCAAGATCAAGTTTTTGGATCAATTTTCGGATCAAGATCAAAGTTGGTGTTCACAAAGAAATACGATCAAATCTGATCCGAAAATATGGATCAAATTGATCCATATTTTGATCCTCGTATTCAGTTGGATCAACTTACAGATCAATCCCACAATACACTCTGAAAAATGGCTGACTTTGTGTGGTAGTCAGACTATTCTCTCCCTTACCAGTTCCTACCCTGACGGTTCTCTCCCTATTTTGGGGGAGAACTGTCTGCATATTTGCAAATTAGAAGACAGTTCCTCCCCATTTTTATTTTTATAATTACATTATCATGAAAGTATTTAGATGATAAATAAATGGGTAAGTTTAACTATGAATTGATATAAATTAGAAAAAAAGAGATTTTATTGAAGTGTTTAGATGTTAAATAAATGGGTAGGTTTATTATAAATTGATATAAACTAGAGAGAAAAATACTTTTATGAAGCATTCAGATGTTTAATTCAAGTTTCAATTTTGTTAGCATCATCAACAACAATAAATCGGTAAGTTTATTATCAAAAATTAATATAAATTAGACTAATTTAGAGAAAAACATATTTTATTGAAGTATTTAGATGTTTAATAAATTTGTAACTTTATTATCAATTGATATAAATTGAATTAGAAAAACTTTTTTTTTAACATATAATAATAATTGATCAATGATGATATTAGTTAATTATTCTGATTTTTTAATTAGATTTAATGTATACTTTTTAATGTGTTTAGTCATTGAAAATAATTAATGAATAATTTACTTGATAAGGATAATCATAAGATATTATTTTTTTATTATTTTTTTTTAATAAATAAAAATGAAATTTATAGACAAAACATGATTAATAAATTTTAATTGCTAAACTTTTGTAAATTGAAGAAAAAAGGAGTTCAATACACACATGTATGCGTTAAGTTTGCTGTCAGTGATAATTGAGGTGTTTATTAATTCATTACTCAAGAATCAAGGTGTTGATTAGATTAAAATAGCTGTGAAAAGGTGTTGATGAATAAGTATTATATTAGTTATTTGGTATTATATATTGTTTCAAGTTAATGACTACATGTTTTTTAAATCGATTTCGTTAAAAAGTATATGTGGAAAGTGTTTGCATACCAGTTGTTGTTAATTTATTTTCTAGAACATACTTGTTTCCACCTTATTCACTATTTAACAAATGAATGAACATCACATTAGCCAGACCTTAACATAATTACAGGTGTACATCAATCACTGTCCAATGATCTATATCTCTCACAATAAAGGTGTTGACAGGATTAAAATACTGAAAAAAGGTGTTAAATTTACAAACACTTTTCAGCTGATAAACATAAGACATAAAATGCAGTTAATGTCAAACACATTCTTTTAATAATCTTCATTAAGAAATATTATTAGTTTAAGTCAAAACTAAAATGATATTTTATAAAAAATAAAATTGGGGGAGAACTGTCTGCATATTTCAAATTTGGGAGAGAACCGTCAGGGGAGGAAATGGTTAGGGAGAGAACCGTCAGGGGGAGGAACTGGTAAGGGAGAGAATAGTCTGTCATTCCTTTGTGTCACGACAGCGGCGGTTGCGCTATTTAGGTAGCCTACCATTTGATCGGCGGGTATTTAGGGATCGTACGAACCCACTTGAGAATTTCAGCAGTGAGGAAATCCGGGAACGTTATCGTTTCTTTCCTCAAACCATCTTGAGAATAGTTGGTTTGGTTGTTATGAGGAGGGAAACGAAACGTTCCCATGCACTGCCACCGCTTCTGGCAGTCCTTGTATCCCTTCAATTTTTGGCGTCTAATGCTCATCACATTGTGATTGCCCAAGTTCATGGAGTATCAAGAGCGAGCGTGTCTCGGGCCATTAAAACATTTTGCCAGGCACTGTGTGGTTTAATAAACCAGTTCGTGGTGTTCCCACGAGATGATATGATACCCAAGACTCAAAAACGATTTTACGCTATCGCAGGTAAGACAATGTCAAGTAAAAGTTAGTAACCAATATAAACAAATTTATCGCATCCGGAAAGGGAGGTAATGTGTAAATCTATTTATAGTTTAAGGCTGAACACTGCTAAACAATTTCCGTCGGCTTGCCCGTATCGATTCATTTAGGGAATCATGGAGGTAAATATTGATACATTTGATGGAAAATAAACATAAACACATACATTCATGTGAAATTAATTGAAGTCATTACAAATGATACTTTATTATTAGTGTATATTTCATTCATTTACATGGCAGATTGCCCCTAGGTGTACTTCCTAAGATTCAGTACGATGTTTGAAGGCTTACATTGAACCTGTTAAATTACACAATTCAGCCAAAATTCCTATATGGATTTATTACAATCATATTTTTGTATGTTTTCTCATCAGTATCCCATATGGGTGGCCCTTATTATTTTGTCTAAGTTTAGCCCATAATTAAGTGACTCATGTGGACAATTTTGTTGGACATGTATATTTCAAACAGAACACTTTTACGAATAATATAACATGCCTGTTTTGAGATATGAGTAACTTAATGTCAATATCAAGTGTTTATAATTTATGATTGTTTTAACAGTATATTTGAAGTTCTAAATGGATTTTTGATTTCCTAATTGTTCATTTTTTTTACCTCAAAATTAATGACAACATGACTTACTAGAATATGTCACAAATGTTGAATACCCTCCGACATCCTCTTGCTTTTAGTTAATAATTTTGCACATATGCAGAATGCAGTAGTTATAGACTTTTCAAAAATGCTTTTGAAACATTTGTCCTATATTATTTAAATTTTAGAATTGGAATGTCCAGGACTTCTTTTAATGGCAATACCTTTTTTCATCCTGTGATTTGATTTCTGCACACTTTCTATACCTACAAAGTTTCATGTTGATACCTTCTATATTTCTCAAGTAATGTCTCGCACAAAGTGTAAAAATGAACAAAGGCAAATAACTCCAAAATTTGGGATTGTAGGGTTATGCTTCTTATGCAGATCATGTTTACCCATTCGTTAGAAGTTGAATGATATCTCTTGCATATTCTGAAATTATGTCCCTGATAAGAAATCTGCAAACTTTGTTGGGGGGGGGGGGGGTATTTATATATATTTTTATTGATCGACTCATTCATCATCCATATTTTGACATACATACATGTCTATGGTATTGCATGTTTATTAACTTTATTTTTTTATTTGTCTATTTACACTTTACACATTACAGGTTTCCCAGATGTCATTGGTGCGATTGACTGCACACATATAAAAATAGCAGGTCCAACAGTAAATGAGGAGGAATATGTAAACCGTAAAGGTTTTCATTCAATAAATGTACAGGTATAAAAAGTGTATGCTTTAAAATATTTTATTAACATGTAATTATATCATAGAGTATAATATACAGATTCATATTAGTTGTGTGTTTCAAATAAATAACGAGTTTTTTTCATGTATCAATAAACTTTCATAGTGTCTTTCATTTTTTATTTCTATATAACAGTGCATCAATATATAACATTTTCAAGCTAAAATCTAATGTACAAAATTGTCAGCCATCGTGTTTTCTTATATTTTAAGAAACTAATCATATTTATAAATATAATAGATTAACTAATTTGTATAATCAGTATAAATTTACTACTGTCCAATTCATATTTCAGCTACATTATCTGTTTATCATTATGAATATCATTTAAGAATATAAAATTTCTACAAATTTCAACATGAAACTAATCTTAAGATCATATTGAATGAATGAAATCAATTGATTTACAAAATACAAACAAGATTGCATTTGAGATAAATGCTATGCCACCGCATTAATACAACACTAAATAGTAGTGTAGGAACAGATTTTTTTTGTACAGATTGTCATAATGCATAGATCCCTGACCTATCTAATTCTTATTATCAGATTAGTGGTTAAATCTATTGTTAATCAAAAAAAAGATCAGAGTAGGAATTTCTCAAGGCACTCGAGTCTAGTGAATTTGGTGGTGAAGGTCATATTTCACACAGCCTAAATTCATGACTACATAAAAGGACAACACATTAAGACACTTTGTCAAAACCTAGGTCAGCTGATATTAAAGGTCACTTTACATCAAAATTTCATTGCTGTACATCAAAGTACAAGAAAGTAGGTCACTGTCGCCTTGGGCAAGGCAAAATTTTGACCCAAGGGTTTAATTCAAAGCAATCTTGATACAGGTCCATCAAACAACATTTCAAGTCAAATATCTAAGCTGTGGCTTTCTCCCATCCATTCAGAAAACATTTGTTTTATTTTCTGTTTTACTATGTGTACATAATGAGAATCACTGCCCCCGGGCAGGGCCAATTTTGTCACCAGGGGAAAAATTGAACAACTTTGGAAGAGGACCTATAGATGATATTATACAGCAAAAATCAAGGCCTTGTGCAAAATATCTAAGCTCTAGGCTTTTTGGGTCTTCACAAGAAGATTTTTCAACTTTATTCTTATAATTCCTTTTGGTTGCCATGGCAACCAGATTTCTGTATGGAATGAAATTCTTTGAACAAATTTGGAAGCCCTCCACCCAACGATCAATCCTGCCAAGTTTGGTTGAAATTGGACTAGTGGTTTTTCACAATAAGATTTTTTAAGTTCACTGTATAATGACTATAATCTATAGAACACACACACAAACACACAGGTGAATCGCTATATGCCACTGCATCGCATATGCTGCGGTGGCATAAAAATTACAAATTAATAAAATGTTATCTTCCATTCATTTAAAGGAAAAAAAATAGCAACAACATAATATTAATCAATAACAATTATGTAATATTAACAAAATCACATGTATTACTTCCTTTTCTGAATGATTCTAGTACTAGTATTTGTTGCAATTAAAGGTAACTGCCATAACACTAGTACTGTCCAGTACATTAAGGGTCTAGTGCACTAAAAGTTCATTTGAGGTACTCGATAAAGAGCACTGGAAATCAACATGTAGTGCATACCAAGTGCATGTTGTGCAACATTTATTGTGAACTGCAATTTAAGTTTGATTCAATTCAAAAATATGCATCCCCCCCCCAAAAAAAAAAAAAAAAAAATTAGTTGAATTCAATTTGTACATATATTGATCATTACATGAATATACAATTTCAGATGATATGTGATCCTACATTCAAATTCACCAATATTGTGGCAAAGTGGCCAGGGTCAGTTCATGATGCACGTATTTGGAGGGAGAGTGATATTTGTGCACAATTTGAGAGAGGTACATATAGTACAGTTTGGTGTTCAGAAAATATTCCCGAGCATTATTTGTTTCCTACAGTCTCTTTAAATTTACTATGGATATAGCACTTCAACAATAGAGCTGTTGCCCAATTGAAATATAGCATGTACTCAATGTTTTGAGCAGAAAACTACTGTGGTGATTTACAAATTGGGCTTAATTTATTACCAAAACATATATTCAATTTAATGTTTAAAAGGAATTAACAAGATCATTTATAACCTATGTAAGATTTGTTATTTTAAATATGGTTCTTTGTCATGCAGAAAGTTTTTTTCTGTTCACAATCTTCCAGAATAAAATTCTGCTTTAAGAAATAATTTTATTCAAGATGTCACCAAATTATTATCAAAGATGCAGTGACAATTTCTAGTGCAAAATTTAATTCTTTGCAAAATTTATTCAAGTTACATTAAAGTTATTCCATATGCCAGTGCGATTGAGTCCAGTTTCAATACAATATTTAAAAAATTGTTGATGATTGGTAAATTTAATGGTAATCGCAATGAAAAGTACATATCACATCATATTCATCTGCTAGAAAGTCCATATTAGTATAGTATGTCTATTCCCATATTACACTAGCATATACTTTTTAAAAACTGAAATAATTGGAATAAATAAAAAATTAAAGTACATGCATCTTTTCAGAGGAAATACAGGGAACTTTACTAGGTGATTCAGGGTATCCATGCAGAAAGTTTTTAATGACTCCTTATCAAGCACCACAGACACAATCACAGGTCAGTAATGTAAAAAAATAATCATCCCTGAAAATATTCACTTACAAGACCGAAGAGGTTGTATTTATTCCATTTAAACTCCAATTTGTAACTCTAGCTAGTAATAAAGTAGCTTTCGAAAATTTCCATGTATCAAAATGACATTATGTAAACTTTACGTTCATGAAAAAACATACAATGATTTCAAAAACTATTATACTTGAATGCTTGTTTCAGTTTTTAAGTGACATGTCTAATAAAGTAACTTTTTGAGATAAAGAAATCATTCAAAGTAAAAAAAACATGTACAGTGAAAACCTTCTATTAAGACCATCACAGTTTTTTCTGCAACTGTCAGTTGAGTTTAAAAACTAATATATTATTTCCATTTGCAGGAACGCTTCAACAATTCCCTATGTAAGACAAGAGTGCTGGTAGAGCAAAGTTTTGGTGTTTTGAAAAGAAGATTCCCTTGTCTGTCTTATGGCTTAAGAATGAAACCATCAGCCTGTTTAAATGTCATAGGTGCATGTGTTATTTTACACAACATGGGATTTGAATTTAATGATATTTTTCCCAGGACATGTGATGACTCTAGGGAAATTCCAATTGTAAGTGATTATCAAGGACCAAGTACAGGCAGCAGCTACAGAGATTTTATAGCAAATGCATTTTTTAATTAAACATTAAAGCTGCATGCCTCCAGATGAGCAAAAAATATTTCGATAAAAAAATAAAATCAAACGTGTGAAAAATGTACTAAGATTTTAGGAAAGGTAAAAGATTTAAAATTCTAGTTAAAATTTACATGTTATGTGCGATTAATGACCGAATTTTTGATTATTTATAACTATATTTCTACTATGATACTTAGGTAGTAAGGGCTTTTTTTTGCATATTTTGACCTGTTTATGTAATTAACATAGGTGATAAGTGCTGTTGATAATGTGTAAATTGCATTCTTTTTGTAACTTTACAATATTATACTTATAAATACATTTTCAAATTTTCATAAAAATTAGCATGAATCTGGAGGCGTGCTGCTTTAATTTGTTTCAGAAACTTAAAAAAATTCAATGAATGTGTTCATAGTTCTCAAAAGATATAAAATATGTTAATTAATTTCTCAGAAATTTACAAGAGTTAAATATGTATCATCTTCACTTATTATTTTACCATAATTGATATTAACTGTTTAACACAGTAAGTTATCTATAATACACATACATGCTTTTCCGTGTGAAATGTAATTATGATGTGGAAAAATACAAAAATCTATTTCCATTTTCACTTCTTTGTATTCACTGGCATGCATGTTTTACATGTTATAAGAGCATAACAATAGCTAGGTTCTTAAGTTAATATAAAAAATTAATTAATTTCCTTTTGAACAACATTTTCATGTTTAAGACATAATATATTCTAAACAGTGATTCAATCAAGCAATAAAATCCCTAATCGGGATATATAATTTTGCACAACATTCCAAAATAAATGCTGCCATAAGCTTAATAGTCCCTGATTTGTTATAAAGAACTTCAACAGTGATTTTCTCTAATAAATAAGTTATCTCCAACAGTGATTTTATCGCTAAATAAAGTCACTGTTTGCAGTTCGGATGCGAGGAATTATATCACGAAGGCGTAGCCAGAGTGATATAATGATGTGCATCGGAACGACAAACAGTAATGTTATCAAGCGATAAAATCACCAATTTGGATATATTATTTCGATTCTAACACAACATCAACAAATTAATGGTGCAGTACCTGACATTAAGCAAAATTTGTGTCCGACTTGTTTCCGTACTTATTTTCAGCGTGTCGGATTCTTTTAGTGGTTACGTCACATGTGTAATGATTACGTCACATATCTTAATATACAACGTCAACTGTGACTTTATTGCATAATAACACACACTTTTGATTCTTCTATATTCAATAGTGAAAAATGCGGGTCATGTCAGAATGCATGATAACAAACATGATGAAATTCCTGGCATGGTTAAACTAAGCTTTTAAACCTAATCTGATATGCAAGAGAAACCATTCTGATATGCAAGAAAGAGATAATAAATAACAAGTAGAAATGTAAAGTTTGTGCACGGCAACAGGTACAGGAGCAGAAAATATGAATTTAACTCAATTTTTTTCTTTGCAAAAGTTGAGCTTATTAAAATGTATGTAAGAATATAAATACAGACAAATATATGGACAAACTGACAGATGGAAGCTATTTCTATAATCCCATTCCCATTTAATGGCATGGGATTAAAAATCAAGATTCAATATTTATCAATCCCTCGTCCAGAGCACGAGCAATGTTGCTAGTTAACAGCTCTTTTTTCAAAGTGAAAAGCTCCCTGTCCTGTTGCCTGCTTTCCTCAAGTATTTGTTTTTTGATAACAAATAAATCCCTTTCTTGGGCAAGTCTCTGCTTGAGGAGGTCGCCTTCAAGCTTCGCTCGTACCAATTCAAGCTGGTATAACTCATCTTGCTTCCTTTTTGTACCTGGGAATAAACATTAGAGTTATCAAAGGAATAAAAGATATTTATCACATTATTTTATTTGTGTATATTCAATACTTAAGTTATTAAACACGTTGAATAAAACAATATTATGCTTTCCAGAGGCTCCCATATGACTTAATTCAGCTGGTTCAATAAATTTAGTATTAAACCTACTCTCATTCAATATTATCTATGAATTGCATCACACATGATTAGGCTAATATTAAAACAGATTTCACTTTGATGTACATGTAATCCCTTTAAAAAGAGAATTTTATCTTCTGTGCGTTGCCTTGCTTTAAGATGTCTCATATTGAATTGATTCTACTCTTTCAATAAATTTAGTGCTTAATGTACACTTTTGAAAAATCTTTATATAAGTGGTTTAGCAGGTATTGTTCTTTAGAGAAATTGTAACAATATACAGCAGACTGACTGCCAAAAAAAAAGCTCACTTCAGAGCACTGTGTTCTCAAATGATCTATACATAGAGCTATGGTTCACTGACATTGCATATATTAAGGAAATCCATCAATATTGAAGTTTCAAGTTGATACTGCAGTATTTTTTGCTTAACCACAATACAACAGATACATTTATGTACATTTGCAATTCATAATCTCATAAAAGTCAAATTTATTATCTTTAAAACCATATGCAATCTTTAAAAAGAGATAACAGTAACTTGCCTTTATTATATGTTTTTTTTTTTTTAAAAACTAGAAACAAAACGTACCTTTCCCAGACACTCTTATTGAGGCTTCTTCTTCAATTAAAGGTTGAGGTTCAGAAGTTATTGCACTTACTGCTGATAAGTAAAAAGTAATAAACAATGACACTTTTTAAACTTAACAATGTCATCAAAGAATAGATATTGTTACTCAAACAATTATATTGTTAAATGAATATAAAAATAGATACTTAATACAAATTGTGAATTAGGGTTATCCTTTTAAACAATAGTACATTTAAAACAAAAATATTGCCATACGACCCGTTTTTGAAACGAGCAAATGAAAATTAAGATTAATTACCATATTTCATACAATTATAGTTTATAAATATTCAAGGTGAGTCATTATGATTGAAGGTCAAGGCCTGTCTTGTTAACTTGAAGGTCTATCCTGAAGATTGTTATGTTCAATACCATCATAAATAACAAAGTTACAGCAACTTGCAAAAATTAGCAAAAATTAAGCAAAATTTAGACTATACATATATAGATATATTTCTTGCATATCAGACAGGATTATCTACCGTTTACACCGGTGCTAGAAAACCCTGTCTTACACCCCCATGTTAGAAAAGTCGGGTGCTTTAAATGACGTCATTGTTGCGCGCCTTTTATGAATGAAATGCGTTCTTAGGATGAAGTCACTTAACCGTTATGAATGAAGTTGTACGTTCATACGCTACTATAAGAAAAAAGTGCCTAATGAGAAAATCAGTTTTTGTAATTTCTGTTCTGAAAATAATTAATATGTAATATGCATTAAAAAGAATTAAAAACCGGCTGTCGATGCAGACGGGAATATCTAGCTCGAGGGTAACTGTTTAGCGGAAACTCGGCAGAGCCTTATTACCGCCGGAAACAGTTACCCTCTAGCTAGATTAATAATATCTGTCATATGTTGCGGTTCGGATCGAAATATCCGTCCCGAGGTGACATGCCCATTAGGCGGTTAGAGGCTTGCCGAGTTAACGCCCATGGGCGGGTAACCGAGGGGCGGATATTCCGATCCGAACCGCAAACATATGTCAGGTATTTTTCTTGCATATTCTACCATATTCCATTATATTTTAAATTCTTTATCTTTATTTTCAATGGAAATTTATATCATGACAACTGTAACTACTTTCGTACAACAGCGTATGAAATTGCAACTTCATTCATAACGGTAAAATGACGTCATCCAAAGCGTGCCATTGCACAGCACGCGACTCATCTGGCACCCCCATGCCAGATGAAATTTCCGGCATGGGTAAAACTAACGGAAATGCCAGTCTGCTATGCAAGAAATTCCTGTCTGTACAGGTAGCCGGTGTAAGATTCATATAATATATATATAATGTTTTTTTTTCATTTTCAAAAAAAAGGTCAAACTAAAAAATTACTAAACCTGTTGTAGTTTCTTCAGCAGCTTTCGGGTTTTTTCCATTTTCAACATTATCATTTTCTGAAGAATAAATAATATAACAAACATCAGCATGAGCTGTCACAGGAGACAGAAAAGCTTGACTAATCAAATTCTGGACGCAGGAAAGAAAACAAATCTATGGGAAAAAAATCAATTATGTATATTTATGTATTAAGTTATAGTAAAAAAATATTATCTGTTAATAAAAATTCCAAGTTAAAGGATTCTGGAAATAGTCACGTTATAGTGTTATCAACCTTGTCACATAACATATGTTTAGGTAAAGGCACATATATTTGAAGTGTGAAGTTGATCCCTTAAGAAATAAATAAGTAACGGTAAAACTAATATTTATAAGGAAAATTCTATGTTCAAGGGGAGATAAATATGAAAATATTGGTGCTACAGTTATGGACCTTGTCACATAAGATATGGTTGATAATAAGGAACATTTATTTGAATTTTGAAGTTGATCCCTCAAGAATTAAAGAATTAACAGTAAAAAATAGTATTTTTAAAGGAAAATTCTAAGTTCAAGGGGAGATAAATCTAAAAATATTGATACTAGAGTTATGAACCTTGTCAATAAGATGTGATTGATGATAAGGAACGTTTATTTGAACTTTGAAGTTGATACCTTAAGTAATGAAAAAGTAATAGTGAAAAATATTTTACTGTGCTAAAACTTTAATATGAAATCTGGATGCGCATGTCTGGGCGAGTAGGACAGCTCCCCATATACTTTGTATAGTCGAGCTAAAAATGATGACTTCATTCATTTATAAAAAGTACAACATTTTATGTGATAAATAGAATATTAAATTCGTGTAAGTTCACAACAAAATTTATTGCCAGAGGCTCGCATAATATAATTTTATTCAACTCGTGCAATAAATTCAGTATTGAACTTGCACTCATTCAATATCCTCTATTTATGACATGTCAATAAATTTTCATCATTTCTAATGATTAAGAGTTGTTGTCTTCAACTGGTTGTGTTTAAATTTCAGACAATGAGTGACTTTAATAGGTCAGTAGGTACAGATATGTCATTCTTGAACATTTTCAACCTATACAAGGTGCCAAATCAAATAATAACTCCATTTTTCTCAATTAGAACAAAAATAAAAAAGCAGCCAAAAAATAATCAAAATCCTTTTTTATTTTTATAAAATTAAACTTCTTTATATGTTTTTTTACTGAATAGTAATGGTTTATATGGCCATTCATACATAAAAACCCTTAAATTTATATTATTGGTGGCTTATTGTTTTGTTTTTTTTAAAAAGGCAATGTATGCTTGATTTAAAAAAACAAAAACATTCCAAATTTATACAAGGGTCCTTTTCCAAAAAATAGTCGGAAAAGGCCTTGGGTCTGTCACTGATTTATTAATGATATTCTGAATAAATTATTGCTTACCATTCTCTTCAGAGGCATCATTACATGGGGCTGTTGAACCTAAAATCAGAAACAAAGACTAATTATGTACTGGATACAGTAAAGGAAGTCAAATCTATTAAAAGAAAATCAATTATATGTAAATATATATTTCTGTTTCAGTATCAAGAAATCATCAAATGTTCAGCATTTTTTCACCACATAATATGCATGTGACCATGCCAATGAAATTGAAACATACATCTATTAAAAAATAAAGAAGTTACAGAAAACAAAATAAGGGAATTATTCTGGCAATATTGATGCTAGGGTTATAAATCTTGTCAAACATGCTGTGGGTGATTAACAGTAACAAATATTATAAGTTTGAAGTTGATACCATAATAAATGAAGAAGTTATTAGTACAAAATAATAATTTTTAAAAGAAGGAGGAATAATAATGAAGGGATGTGTGATAGAGACATAGAGCAATAAAACCATTCTTTGTTACATTAAATATGGTAACTGTTCTAGTTTGAGTCATTGTTTTCAATAAAACATCACACTGAGTTAATAGCATTTAACAAAAACTTACATATGGCAGAGGATTCTAGGCCACCCCCAATGCCTACCATCTGCGGATTGTTTCTAAGCAGAACTACACTCTCCTCCTCTGCTGCGGTTAATGCAATAAAGGGCCCTCCCCCAGTTTTTTTTCTGTCTCCTTCTTTTGATTTTGCTTAAATATTAAACTGTGTTCTTAAATTTCTTGTAAAAACATTTTATTCATAAATGATTAATAATGCATGGAAACAAAAATGGAGACAAAAGTCAATACCCTTCATAAAGCATATAAATATTGCTTTTAAATGGCAATAAATCAATGAGCTTCCATAACATACAAGAGATTATACAACTGTTTTTACACAAAGACTTAAAAGAAACACATTTTTATTGAGTTAAGTTTGAGGTTCAAACTTTTCTGAAATCTTAGAACCTGTATACATATAATTCAGTTTCAAAATATAGAAATTTCAATATTTCTAAAAATATGTCATTAAACTTCTTGCTTATATTTCCAAATATGAATATTGTCAAACATATAACATATATAAAACCTATTGACCACTTATTTGCTCTGTTATTATGACATCTAAATTATTTTAATCTGTAGTCTTGTTGCATTATTAAAAATTATACATCACTACATACATTTATTACTTGCTAAACTGAAGCTAGTACAATTTATTCTATCCCTTTGTTTTGAGTGTACAGTACTATCCTTGATTAACAAAAAAAATATCTGTGATATATGTAGCATCATACATCCTATTTTCTGATAAATCAGATGTGCCATAACTCACTCTATATTATAATAAAAAGAAGAAAAAAGTGAGTTCAAAAGTATAAAATCTGTTCTTTAATGAAATTCTTATGTTAACATGTTCTTAGTTCTATGCAAAATGTAGTTCTTTCTGCTATAAATTTTCGTTTATAATAATATTATTTATGATGATTAGGTTAAGTATGTAAAGAAAAAGTGGAATAAATAAATACCTCTTGCTTTTGTATTTTTATACATAGTTTTGACATTTTCAACCGTCCTCTTGCACTGTGCAATGCCAGAACTGAAAATACAATGACAGTGTTCGAAATTAGCAATAGTCCTATAGTCCCTGACTACTAAATTTCTCCTCGGGCTACCAACTTTTCACAGTAACAAGCCCGACCAGGCTACTGTATTTTCAGAGGCAATATAAACAACTGTTTTGAAAAAATGAATTGTGCTAGTGAAATGTCTTTTGGGCTAGTGAATATTCCAATCTGGTAGTCCGACCAGCCTAGTGGATCAAATCCTAATTTTTTACACTGCAATGATGTTCAGTTTATATTAATAAAAGGTCTTCTAAACCTTTTCAAATATTTATTTTCAATTTAACTATGTTATTGTCAGTACCAAAGTACCCCCAAAAATGTGAAAATTATTAAATCTACCATTGTAAATATATCCAATGCATTACTATACTAGTAATTATAGAAAAATATGAAAAAATGAAGCTGATAACCTTATGCTAAGGCCTCTTCCAAATTAAGTGAGAAATATCACTGCTTCATAATCGCTCAAATAAAATATTATCTTCATTAATTGTAAATAAATGTTTGTTTGTATAATATTTTTTCATAAAAAGTTCATGTTCAGTTCTGTTTTTTTTTAATACTTTCCCCCTTTTTATTCCTTTCCTACTATTATAGCCTCATTTTTATACAAAATCATGATTAAATGTTAAGATCAATTGATTATTTTATTTATTGGAATGCTATTAATATACCAGTTTTAAAAACCAGGAAAGACTTATTCTGACTGGGGCCGAAACATCTGGGGCCGAAACGTCTTGGGCCATTTGGGGCCGATACGCCTTTAGGCCGAAATGACTCTAAATCATTCTGATAGAGAAAATCAAAGGTTTAACGTTTTCTAATATTGTGGAGTCTTTCAATCATGAAGGGCTGAAGAGCCCCTCCCTCCCGGCAAATAAATAAAAAAAAATAAAAAAAATCACTTGCCTGTTGAATTCATCCGTCAAGGACTGCCAAAGGCAGTCCTTCTCTTTATTGGTCATTGCCGCCCCTTTAAATTTGCCAAAAAGGCGACTGTACGACTCATTTATTTTCCTAATGACGAACAGTTTCTCTTTTTCGGTCCAGTTAGGAAATCGCTCCATTTTCTGAGATGCAGACGGTAAACAAAAACAAGCGCCTCCAATTGAAGAGTCTTCCGGTGGTCGCTTATGTAATTAACAATCGCGATCAATTGATCCTGATTTTCGGCTCACATGATCGCGATCATTTTTTGTTTAGTGAACACCAAATTTCGGCTCAGGATCATGTGAGTCAAATTATCAGATCAACTGATCTGAGCTTGATCCTGATCCTAAAATGTTAGTGAACACGGGACCAGGAGAGACCGGAATTACCGATAGGAGTACATCCCTCAATAAATAGATTTTTGGAATATTTAGGTCATCAACTCATTATTCTATTTACAAGCACCCTTATACCGATCGGAATGATCGGCTTTTATTATGAACAACTATAAAAGGCTCGAGAAGTTGCTGTCGCCCTTTCACAAAATCTGATTTTATTCCATAAAAGGCGCCGCGCTTCGGCGCGGCGCAAATAACCTGATAAATTTGCAGATCCAAATTTAAACATATCAACTCAACAGGTCTTTCTTCCATTTTACAATTAATCGATGATTTAACAAAAATATCTATAAAAAGTGTTTGTTTTTACTTTGACAATGCCTAAATTTGACTTTATCTTTGTAAAATATATTTATATAACGTTGTTAGTACAAATGAAAAAAATTAAAGTAAAGGTGAATTGACACGTTCAAGTCACTATGAATAACGTTAAAAGCAAAAAATCTGGAAACAAAGTGATCCCTCGGAAGCATTAATCACAACAAAATTACATAAGAATTGCAGACTCTGTTTGATTGAGTCTATACATATGGGATAATGTATATGTGCAACAACCTTCACGCCCCCTAGCACCGGCTTGAGCGGTACTTAAGAGCGGTACTTAGTTCTCAACACTTAATAGTGCTTGCATCAATGATCCCGAAGGACCAGAAAAATATAACAACACTGAAGTGAAGTACGGGGCAACTTTTTACAGCTGCCACACAGCACTTGACACCTGATGTTGTGAAGTATAAAAGTCTGGAAACATCTGCAAATCATTCATTGTTCATATACACGTTGTCCAACATCAAAAAGGCTAAAACGTCATGAAATATTTAGAGACAAAACTAGTAGATCAATTCATCATCTAAGCGCAAGTCATGGAAGTCGTATGTTTCAGATATAAATGCAAATACGTATAAAGAAAGTATGGGATGCAGTTAGATAGATAAGCAGTAAATAAAAAAGAATATCCCAATTCTTAGTCAATAGAAATATAATAATTGTCAAGATGAAAAAAAACACAAAAGGTAATTAATAAAACATTTGCAAAAACAACTCTGCTTCAAATAATTATTTCAAATGAGTTTCTTCAGCATTAAGTTTCTAAAGTTATAGGAGAACAAATACATTTTACTTTAGCACATTACAAAATTCGAAACTCTTTTCTTTCAAAGATTTAGTTGATTCGATCAAGAAACCAAAAGATATAGCAGCTGGTCCAGATGTCATTTACTATGATTTTTTTAAACACCTTCTACATCAATCTCTTGAATTACTGCAATTTTGTGCCCTTCTTAACATATTTAACAACATTTTGTTATCTGGTGAGTTTCCTAAAAGTTTCAAAGGAGATGTGGTTATCTCAATTCCTTAACCTGAAAATGATAGCACTGACCCTTCAAATTACCGCCCGATTTCAAGCTACTTATGAAAAACATTTGAATGGTAAATAATCCCCTGGTATGGCATTTAGAAGTTAAAGGAATAATTTCTAGCGTTCAGTCATGTTTCCATTCACAACATAGTACAAACAATTATCATATTCATCCCAAATTTTTATTTTTGATAAAAAACAACACTCGGCTTCAATTTGATTTGATCCTGTAAAACCTTATGATACAGCATGGAATTCTTGTATCATAGTTTGGAGACCTTTCTGTTGAAAATGTGTCAGGGTTAAATCGTATACATATACGTGCACATTGCGTTAACTGGAGTGCGGGTATTAGTTACCCGCACTCCAGAGCATGCCCATTGATTGGCTCATTTTTGCTGGGGTTTACATATTGTGGCGGCAGAGAAAGGGAAAGCGACAGAAATGTCATATCCAGATGTTCGTTCATTGGTTCATTTTTGCCGGGGTTTCATATTGTGATACAGGGAACGTGCTTTTATGTTTGACTATGAAACAAAAGAGAAAGAACACCAAAACACTCGGCAATCTGATTTATACTCGGGGGCTACGCCCCCTCGTACAAATCAGATAGCCTCGTGTTTCGGTGCTCTTTCTATTACTTAAAGATATAAAAGATACAGGATTAAATCTTTTTTTACATTTCTTGTCGATAGAAACTTTAAAGTAAGAATTAACTTCTGATGAAAAGCTTTCTGTTCAATATGCAAATTACAGCTACAATAGTTTAACAAACTAAATTAAGGTAGCCCTTTTGTTTAAAAGATAGTTTAGAAAAATGTTAAGTACACCCAACGTATATTCTTCAAAATGGTGTGATGTTTCTTTGTAAACTTAAATTATCCAGAAGTTCAAATCAGTCTTTCAAATTTAAAAAAGCCACCCATTTCTCCTGATGTTATTTAAGAACATTTTTCAAACTTCAAAGAACATCTACATTTTATTCATATTTATACAGACGATTTCAAAGATTGTTGCAACGAAGGTGTCTATAAAATCATTTTACATCGTGAATAAGACTACCTGGTAATGTATTTATATTTACTGCTGAAACAAAAGCTTTAGATTTAGCCTTGTTAATCATTTAATAGCATAATAGTTTGTAACTTTTTTCAGATTCACTCTCTGTGCTATTTTATGTCAATCAAAAATATAAAACTTGACAATATTATGGTAAAGAAGCCCTTGTTATGATTTCATGGTTTATTAAAAACAAAGGCAGTAAAATTATGTTGGATCCTAGGCCACGAAGGAGTACAAGGAAATGAAAAGTTTGTCTAAAGAAACTTTAAAAATCGCCCATTACTGTTACCAAAATTGTGATTGTTAACCTTCATGAAATGAACTTTTATCATCTGAATGAAAATCAAATTGGAACAAATGATATAAACCCCTGACTGAAACTGTCACCATTTCTATCTCTTATAAACCATCATGATCAAGTTGGTCTTCTGAGATGTTCAACATGACACACCTTCTCATCTTTTAACAGGCCATTATTCTGAATGCTATGATCTTGCACAGGTTCCCGATTAAATTCATCTCCACAACTTTTTGACCCATTTCCTTCCTTAACATTGATCGACTACTTAAGAGATATAAACCTATATTATAAAAGTTATTAACTCCCTTTTTGACCTTTTTTGTTATCTTTTTTAGGTTAAATAGTCTTATATGAACAAATAAATTACTATTCATGTAGTGTTCGGCACGGTATGGCCAGTTGTGTGTCAATGTGCCATTTAACTCAAACACACGATCATAAATTAATAAAGTGTCATTATCCAGCTTAACTTAAGTAAGCTTAGGAGCTGCATGCTTCCAAATTCATGCTAATTTTCAGGAAAATGTTGTATTAAAAAGTAAAATATTGTCAAGTGAACAAAGAAAGAAATTTATACTTCCAAACACTACTAAACATTTATTAAGTAGGTCAAAATATGTAAATATAGCACTTACAAATACGATGAAAAATACTGTAAAATCATGGATTAATTGCATATTACATTTAATTTATTTCTGGAATTGTGAATAGTTTAACCGTTCTTAAATCTTTAACATATTTTTTTTTTGAAGTTGATTTTCTTAAAAAATATTTAAGCTCACCTTGAGGCAATCAACTTGAATTTCTTTTACTTTTTAAAACCCTGTGAAGTTAACCAGTTTTTGAATTTGGCACCACAGCTTCTGTGGACAAATTTGTTGCCAGTAAAAAGATTATGTATGTTAAAGTGTAGCTGTAATTAGGAAAATGGTACCAGAGGATGTAAATGTGCTAATGCTGACTTTCCATGCACATCGTTATGCAAATCTAACAACTGCTGTTTTAAGCTACAATATTTCAAACATTGTGTTAAATATTATTCAGTGACCATTAAATATTACAATGTATTCTGTTGAATATACGTTTTAAACTGAAAAAACCTGGAGTTAACAGTAAATATATCATTAAATTATCACATTTTAAAGAAGTCTGCAGTGATTAATGTATAAAATATTGTTCTTATATTGATAATAAGTTATTAAAATTGTACTTTTCAACTTGATTGTATTTAGAGTTATAAGGTGAAGTCCGAAATGTTTAAAGCTTGAAGTATGAGTAATTAAATGCAAAACCATAAAAATCCTATACTGACGGCCATATTGACCACAATATCTTATGCCAAATATTATGTGTAACTCTTCAAAGATGTCTTTGTTTGTTTAAAACACAAAAGAATAACATATACTGCTAGATATTGCATTATTTTGCAAATATTGTATTAATTATCGGAAGGGTATCTGAAAAAACTGGATTTTGGCGGCCATCTTGGCGGCCATTTTGAATTTTTGCCGCCATTTTGATTTATAGGCTGGGGTCTAGATCCAAAACAGGTAGACATACATCAAACTAGGATAATCCAAAGTGGTTTGCTTGTAGAATTAATAGAACGATTATATGTACTTTGACTCCAACTATAGTTGTCATACAACAATGAACAAACATTATAGATCTATAACGATACAAAAAAGAGTTTGTTATTATTTTATATTATATAACTCATGTCATAATTTAAATGATCACAAGTATGTTTTATTACTTCATTATTATTAAATCATCGAGTTTATTAAACTTATTAATTTGATTATATTTTCCACGTCCTGTTCTTAAACACATACTTTTCTATGACAATTTTTGAAAGAACATTTTAATTTAAATATTTTGTTTCATCTAAAATATTAATTCATATACACGAACATATAACTAGTTAACCATGGAAGAACATCATGAAATTCCGACGTGTTTTCCTTATTTACATACAAAAACAAGTAGTATTTTCTGATAGAAGACGGGATTTCTCATGAAATCTTATTTCAGTTAACTCAAATTGACCAGTACTAAGTATTACTTCGGAAAAAGTAAAATACCAGTTTGTAATAACTAGTTTCCATGACAAATTATGTGCTTCTATACATACATATGACAGTACTTGTATTATATATTGATACCACATATTTTTAGTATATTGCAGTTTCAATCCTTTAATGTTCTTAATATCTTTAGTTTGCCAACAATTAAAACAACAAATAATAC